CCGCCGCGGTGGGAAGCCAGCGACTAACCACTTGATCTATGGTGCGGGCATTACCCGATATTAATGACGGTAAATTTGTTAATTTAAATATGGATAGGAAAAAATGGAAGTAAAACCGTAAGATATCCTAACTGAATTAGTGAGAATCCCTATAAGGACACCTTTACCCCCACATATAATGAGAGCATGGACGAACAGATAGCGGGGAGGTTGCAAGGTTCGTCTCTGTGATGTCAATTTTCATTGCTATGCTGCAAGCCGGATGGTCGCGGGTTCGAGTCCCGACGATGTGCATTTTTTCAACTGACCTAATCCTTCCAGCCGCACCATGGCCCTGTGGTGGACAAACTCTCTAACAGAAATGAGTACCAGGAATTTTCCTGGGAGGTAAAGGGCGGCCGGCGCGTAAGGCTGACAACCTCACTGCCATCTGTAAGCCGATTGTCTAGAAAATGTGGAAGCCTCGATGTCTCACAATCCTACGGGCCTCCACGGTCTGTTACAGGGATAGCTTTACCTTTTCTTTACCTTCTTACCTTGTTTTTATGGAGTTTCTTATATAACATTAATTTTTTCAAAATTTTCAATAGAAAAATATCTAATACTCTTATGAAGACATATGTCAGCTACGTAAAAAATGTCAGTATCTTCATGAACAATAGTATAATTATTAGTATAGAATCGTGCGTCTATAAAAGGCTATAGCTTCTGAGGAAAAAGTACCTATTGTTGTAAAAAAAAGCACAACGCGGGAAAATGAATGAAAATGCAAAAAAAAAATGAAGGCAAAGGCACGTCAAATGACATTGTGGAAATTTCCCTAGCAAGCGCAGAAATTCCCTTGAGCCCGTGGAAATATAAAATACCCACATTACCACAAGACATATAATTGAAATGTGGGCGAGACGCAAGCTGTCACTAGACATTTAGTTAAATCAGCTTTTAATGCCGTTGTAAGAGGTTGTAGTAGAAAAGAACATTACATTATTATAAAGCAGTTGGTGACTACCAAAAGTAACACAAAACACGAAATTTATATTTTTGACCCAAACCATCTTACCACCTATCCTTTTGGTCTAATAACGAGTAAACATATTGTCACGTGGACACTGGATTTATTGACCATTTGCGGATCGTAAATAGTACAAGTAACTATAACAGGTTCACGGGATTACACACTCCTACAGCACATATAAATTCTCATTTGCCGTTGCTTTGTAACGGACCTTAACACTGTCTCTGCTTACGTCCTTATCGTTCGGCACATATGCAACAACTGACTAACTCCCAGGCTGGTGGCCATCTCACACCAACCTCCTAGTCTTCTCTACACTAATTTTTTAATTATTTTTTAATTCGCATAGTGGGGGGTGTATTCCAGCTGGGTCCACTCGGCACGTCGACCACTGATTGGCCTACTGTACCTGCTCCGGGTGATGATACTTTCAACCGAGCACTCTTTCAACTGACTGGTTGCCCCAAACTGTCCCGGTGATAACATCTCGACATGGACCGCACAGAAAACACCATTCCTCTACTGCTTGTTAAAACTGTTGCGGTTTAACCGCCGCGTATCAAGAATCTGCTGCCTAGCAACGGACATTGTTCTGTTGTTTGTTTCGCGTCCGTTGCCTAGAAACGAACGCTGTTTCAGAGCCGTTTGCTAGCAACGGATGTTTCTCTGGCTCCACAGTTCCTGCTTTGAGCAAATAAGCAACAGTACGTGTGCAGCTATCCTATAATTTATTTATATTTAAATGTATGATTATTTATTGAGTTACAGGTCATTTCACGGCAATGTTTCAATTAGTCTCAAGTAATAATTCGATTAGAATTTTATTGTAGGATCTGAGATTCTGATATAATTCTATGTAGTCCGTTGAAAGTTAACTGACGTTCAGGAGGATAATGTCACATGCAGCAACCATCCACTTAACTGACAAACTTGTTCCGGCTTATAAATTGAAAATTACAGTTTACGCTTTCAATAGCGCACTATATGTACGTTTCTGTATACAAATGTAGAGAGAAATTTGCCTTGAATCCCAGAGAGACTCTGTATGAGGCTCTGAGCCTTATCGCTCTAGTATTATCATCCCCCTCCCAACAAGAGGTCTCCTCCTTCAGCTCATCCATCTCGGAATGAAGAGGAAATCCATAGTGTATGAATGAAGAAGGGTTGATGTATGGGGCGCGGTTTGGAACATAAGCAAAGTGCCTGTTGTATACATAACTGAAAGCCTTGAGCTGCAGACTTCAGATAGTTCGCCTCGCTACTCCACACGCAACACACTGAGTTATTATTTCGAAGTACGTAGGTCTAAGTATATATACAATTCACGCATAATATACAACCCAAGGCTTTATTCTTTATACACACAAACAGAAGGAGACAAAAATATGGCAAAGAAAGGCCCATTCATTGTTAGAGTATTCTTCAGTTTTATAGGTCCTCTATAAATCATTTCATCGTGTTTTCCTTCTTGCTAATTTACCACGTTACAAGGCACCATTAACAGATTTTTAGAGTAAATACAGTAGTTCCACTGTTACTCTGTTGATTGCCAACTATTTTCACGCATCAAGTTAACACTATGCGGCGCCACTGTGGTAAATAACAGAAAGCCGAAGAATGGCAATAGTAGAGACTATTCACGGAACTTGCATAATAAATAAGTAACTTCATAATTTCAATAGCATGGTTTACGAACAAGTTTGTTAACTCTTACACCTATATTCTTACTGAGGGGATCTCTCCACACTAATGCTAGGACAGTGCAGTCAAACAGGCAATGACAGTCTCCTTCCAAATCATTATTTACTTAAAGAAATAATGATTTCTTCCTCTCAATTTCAGCTATAATTTGTCAGTAAGATAATGTCATTGAAGAACTTAAATAAATCAACCTAATCTCGGAAGGGCTACCAACAATCCTGAAGTTTCTCGCTGTATTCATCAATCTACAGTGACAAATGCCGGGAGACTACAATTTCCTCACAAATGCACGACCCACAACTTCAAAATATTTACCTCCACTCCATTAATGACAATGCTGGCATCTCATTCGACATATCCTTCCAGATATATTTGCAACTGCAGATGTAGCCGCGTTTGCCCAAACAAAATAAGATGACAAGATAATTACACTTCAGTGCACCCAGAGTTTCCGGAACTCACGGTCGAGGTCTTCTTCAAATTAAAATCTTGAAGCACAAAAAACATCAATTGCCCTATCCGAGAGTCTTGATCTATGTTTCGTGACAAATCTTCCAGACGTAGAAAAACTTGGTTAGTTTTGCGC